ACAAGGCACACGACACGCCCAACAGTCCTTAAAGATCATAACAACCCAAGGCATTCAAAGCCCAGTACCGGAGGCTGGACGTTTGGAAGACTTCAGAGGTTTAAACGTCTACTTTTAATTGTTTTGGTTGATAATAGGTATTTACTAATGCCTGCTGTTTTCCAACCCTCTGAGGAAGTCTACTTGCGCCAGGCTTAGGGAACGGCATTCCTTTCTACTGCTGTGGCAGCGAGTCCTCATCTTTCTCTCCACTCTGTATTTCCACACTTGTTCTTTTGTGTCTTCTATGCAAAATGAAACCATACCAGTGTGTGATTAGCTTAGTGGCTTAACAGTAGGTTCCATTTATCCGACCCAGTGCAGGAAATGCATATTTAAGTCTATTCATATCTATATGGACATATAGTACATACATTTTTCAATACTCGAAAATTTAATATTATGAAATGATTTTATATTATAAAATTTTATATTATACATAATTTAATTCATTAAACTTTAAGATATAAAGTAATTTTTTTGGTTTTTTTTTTTTTTTTTTTTGGCTGTCCTGGAACTCACTCTGTAGACCAGGCTGGCCTCAAACTCAGAAATCCTCCTGCCTCTGCCTCCCAAGTGCTGGGATTAAAGGCGTGCGCCACCACTGCCCGGCTATAAAATAATTTTTTTTAAAGTGTAAGGGTCCAAAAATTGCTGAAGGAAGACCCCAGACTTAGATTGTATATAAAAGCAAAAAGTGTTTATTCTTTAGAAACAACCAGCATGCGGTATGCAGGGGGTCAACCATTTTCTAAAATGGCAACCCCAGACAAAGGCACGTAGGCCTTCTTCTAGGGAACCAGGGGAACTCTCTAGAAGGATTAGGTAATCTAAAACTTCATTGGTGGGTGCTAGGAGCTCATAGGTGGCCAGTGGTCTGCATTTCTGTCTTGAACATTTAACCATGTGACTAAATATGGCTGTCCAATGTAGATGGCCCATCCTGAGTTAAGATGTTTTTCCATTTTTGTGGCTATCCCCAGGCTTTGGGAGGGGGTTTTATGATCTTGTTCTCTATTTTATGTTCTATTCCTGAAACTGCTGTCTTATGGCCTTTTTTGAAATCAGGTCTGGTCCTTAAATGGAGACAAATGGGGTTTATGTTGTCGTTTCAGAAGGCACAGAAACTAAGCATACGAAGCTACTCGAATGCCTTCACTCATCATGGACTAATCTGCCATATTTGTTTCGCTTACAGTTGTGACCTTGGCTCATCTTCAGCTGTAGATCCTCTGGCTTTTCTTTCCCAACTGCTGGGATAACAGGCATGTGCTATGTGCTGCCTCCTCTTCCTCTTCTTCCTCCTCCTCCTCTTCTTCCTCCTCCTCTCCCTCCCCCTCCTCCTCTTCTTCCTTCTTCTTCCCCCCTCCTCCTCTCCCCTTCTTAGAAAGCACTCTTGACGCCAGAGTCCCAGTCTTTCCTGTTAACGTCTATCTTATTCCGTTTCTTCACATTTTTTTCTTTCACAGTTCTTCTGTTTTGTGCTTTTCAATTTTGTTAAGGGTTATCCTTCTCAGAAGCATTTGCATTTTTCTTTTTCCCTCAACCTTGTGTTAGTATCTAGCTACGTTGATGCAAGAGAGACACTCTGAACAGTTGTTTAAATCCTATTACATGCCTGTACTGTTCTTTTCCTGTAGTCATATCTGTGGTTTTGAGGGATGGTGATGGCTAATCTTGTCAACTTGGTGACACTGTAAAGTGCCTAGGGGATTATTGAAATGTGCCCCTGAGTGCCTCTTCAGAGTGTTTCCAGAGAGGATAAACTTGATGTGTGTGGTGGTGGTGGGGAGGGGGGGGGACGACGGGGGACACAGACTGGGAGGAAGATAGGCCAGTGTATGTAAAAGTGAATAAATTAATTAATGGGGAAAAAAAAGAAGGAATCCATCCGGAGCATGCAGGGCATCACTGCACATGGAACATGGGCTTTAGTGGAACAAGAAAGAGGGCACAGTGACACAGGCACACCACTTTCTGTCTGGCCTTCCCTACACCTTCTTGTCACCATAGACTAGACTTTCTGAAAGCCTGAGCCAAGTAAATCTCTCCTTCATCTCCTTTACCTCCATGTTCCTGTCAGACTTTTGTGCAGGTGACAGAACAGAAGCACAAGTGTCACTTAGCTGGTTTGCAATATTTTGCCTGGTACACTATACTGATAGGAATGAGCCAACCACTCCTCCAGCCCAGTTGGCTCCAATTTCAAAACAAAGTGTCACCTCTGAATACTTCTCCATGCTCTACAATGACCATCAGTATCTTAAGCATCCCCAGCTTTCACTGCTCCCCCCAACCCTGCTCTCCCTAGACTATACCATCCATGGGGGCAGATTGGGGCACCCCAGCCTGTTAAATCCTCCAGAGTCTTTCCATCATGCCTGGAATAAATGCAGAGAGCTCCAAATGTCTACTTTCTCTTCCTCTTTTCCTGACTCTCAGTGGTAGAGATGGGGACTCTTAAATGTGTACTCTTCTGGAACCACATGCCAGGCTACTTGAAACCAGTACTTTCTCTCTTTCTGTGGCTTCCTCTCTGACCGATCAGATTCCTGGCTGTGTATCATCTGCTTGTATAACTTTCGTAGTAGTATGCACCCTTCCTTTCCTGTTTTCAGCTTTTCACTGTGCTTTTTTTCTTCTTACAGGGTATCATATCTGAAACTCTCTTTTGTATTTCTGTTCCTCCATCAGAATGTAAACTCTCTGGACCTTATATCCCCAGTACTCAGAAAAACACCTGCTTACAACTCTTGCACACTGTTAGGGGCAGGACCTTGAAACTTCTGATGGTGAAGCCCAGAGGGGTATGCATTGTCTACAGTACAGTACAAGCATAGAAGTGAAAACTTCAAGGAAACAACATGCACACTTCCTGGGCTTACGTTGGATTTCATTGAATAAGAAATGCAGGAACACAGAGAGACAAGCATGGCATGATTCTACCTCTGAGGCAGTGGCCAGGACTTGGAGGGAGGAGTAAATGAGAACTCACTAATCCCTGTGAACATCCAGGAAAAGAAGTTGAATAGAATCTAAGAAGTTGTGGTTCAACACCTTATTTTCAGTCAACAACAGTATACTTTCAAATTCTTAGTAGAGCTTCTATTAATTAGTCTTTCCAATTTATAGTCCAACTACTAAGTGAATGTACTCACCAGCTTGTACACACACACACACACACACACACACACACACACACACAGAGAGAGAGAGAGAGAAATAGAAGAAAACATGTTAGCGGAAGCCCAATGAGTTGATTTCATAATCTAGCTACAGGTTGGAATCTGCAGGAGAAATCCCTACTCCCCTAGTGTATCTGTTTTGCAGACATTTTATTTCTGAGTCACCCTCTAATACACAACTCTAAGCTATTGTGCCTTGCAGGAACGGATCCTATTCTTAACACCCAAGTACTTGTTCTTTGCAGACTTTCCAAGTGTTTGCCTCCTGTAGCAAAATCATATTATTTCCATGTCTAATGTGTACTTTTCCTGATCACTAAAAAGATTAGACCCTGAATTAAAAAAAAAAAAAAAGAAGAAAGAAAGAAAAACGAGGGCCAGAGATCTTATCGTTAAAAGAAGAAAAACATGTAAACCAAATTCTTTTCTCATGTACCAAGAAGACTAAAAATGCTCAATGCTGAACTTTACATGGGCAAAGTGGCCCGGATGTTCCCTTCGTTCTGTGACCTCACGTGTTCAGTTTTACTTGCACAAAACATATTCACAAGAACATTGTACTAAGGACAATTTTAGGTCGACATCCGCTTATTTATTCACCCAAGTGTTGATTGAACTCCAGGCTGCTACCAGGAATTTTGCCAAACAAATCAATAGCTGCTTCTCTTGATGCCTACTTTGGGGACTGGAGTTTTTTGTTTCTGGCACGGAGGGAGGGTGACCCCTGAGCAGCTCCTTCCAATCTATTGTACTCGTGGGTTATTTATGTCTTTATGGTCAATATCCAGGTGTTTGTGTGTGTGTGTGTGTGTGTGTGTGTGTGTGTGTCTTGCGCATGCTCTCTTCACAGACAAGTACTGTGGCAACATCAATACCAAGAGAAAAGTTTTGAAATGGGGGGTGGGGGGATCCTTACACTTCAAGAAATGTTTTAAATTTATATTTATAAGTTTTTTTTTAAAAGCGTCCCAGGTTTTCGGTCGTTGTTGTTTTTCTTCTGTGTTTTTACTCTTTAAAAACGGGGAAGCCTTGTTTCATCCTTGTGCCGGTCTTGATGAGAAGAGCTATAAAAAACACGTCTTCTTTTTAATAAACTACGGTAGTTCCCAATTTTGCCTGGAGAAAATGGACAATCCACAGTTTAAACGTCTGCAGCTTTCATCTCCGAAAGATAAAGCTCTAAAGAATTTTACCCTTCAGGTAAGTTTTTACTCCCTGAAGGGCTATTTTTTAAACCCTCGACACTTTCAGGAAGCATCAGGACTTAAACTTGTCTAACGACTTCGGATAGTGGTGTGGTTGCCAGATAAGAGGTGCTAAACTCTCAGCTATTTATGGGTGTTATCGCTGCTTTGTTCTTTAACACTTATCCATTTTTAAGAGATTAAACTACAACGAAAGTGAGAACACAGGGGGAGGCTCTGCAAGTAGTCTCTGCCAGCCCTACCAGCCTTCGTTTTGTATGCAAATAAGACGGCCAGTCCCAGGACCGAGGCAGCCACTTTCGCGCCACTTCCCAGGACCGCGAAGCTTCATAAAAAGCCAATGGCACCAAGTTCCCACGACGCCACTGTTTCATAGAACATCTAGCAGTTTCCGAGGACACTCATGTTTAATGCAACCATGAGAACCGCTTTTATTTTTTTTGCAGAGCTGGGACGCTTCGGGTACCGCTAGAGACGTCATCTTAGCTGGCAGGACCTGCGTCCCAGCGCGGGAAAGCTGGTGGCCCCGCCCCTCCGGCGGCGGACTGCGCGCCCCGCCTCTGTCCCGGAGCTCCGGTTGCTCCGGCTCTGATTGCTACTGTGTTCCGACCAACTGTCCCCGTTCCGAGTGCCTGGGTACCCGCCGCCAGCATGGAGGCTCGCCGTGCGCGGGTGAGGCCCGGCCGGGTTCACCGGGGCGGGGTTGGTGGGTGCTAGACACGGGCGGGTCGGGGCCACTTCCCTCCGCGCGGGTTAGCTCTGCTCACTTGTCCCACGCGCTCCTGATCACCTCCAGGTTGGGAGAAATCACAGATCGATTTTCTTATAATCTTTGCACCCAGGATAACTTAGGGCCAAGGTGATGCGCCCGGCGGCGCGCACGGAGTTTCTAGCGCTCCGGGAACCTGCGGTACCGGTGCTCGTGCTCCACGTGCGCGCCGGAGGCCTGGGACTGGCCGCTGGCCATGGTGTCCGGCTGTCGTATCCCAGTCTTTCCACCTCCTGGGACCTCCCCCGCCACAACTCGCTTGCGGCGGGTGCTTCCTTACCTACGTGTGGACTGGTGGACCTTTTTGCTCTGCGGCTCCTCCTAACCACTCTGGATCTGCGGGTTTAGTTTAAAAGGCCTTATGAGCATTTCAGGAGAACTTGGGCTGTGCACGTGGGGGGAGGTATTGTTTTAGTCCTAGGCTGTGGTTAGGTGCAATTTAGGGGGCCAACGTTGCAAGCTGTGTGCCACGGCCGTTTAGTGAGCTTCCCTGCGTCCCCCCACCCCCGCCCATCCCACCCTTCCTCTACCCGACTTGCAGCTGCGAGCTGGAACGTTACTCTTTTGCTCCAACGGAAGCCAGAACTTATGTCCTGCCCTGGAGAGGGTTGAAGAGTGGGGGGTTGGGCGGAAAGGAAGACAGTGACGTACATCAAATAAATATCGAGTTCGGGGACCTTGTGGCGAGGTCCGGGTGGGTAGGCAGGGTCGTGATTTCATAGCGGATCGCCTCGCGGGGGAATTGGGCATGGAGCTTGACTTGCCTTAATGCGTATTTGGGCACCTGACTGGAGGAATCAACTTAGCCTCTCCAATCTTCGGTTTTTCTCATTTAAGTTATAGTAACGTTGCTGCAAAGAATTAAGCAAACATCACTTCCAAATATGCCACCAAGGAACACTCGCCATAAATCGAATCAAGAGTTATGTCTGCCAAGAAATTTCACCCCAGGCATGACCTTTTGCTCTTTTTTGTGTGTGTGTGTGCCGTCTTCATCGAAGATATATTTGCCTGGTGAATGACTGTTGGCCTGTCCTGGCGTGTTAAAGATTAGTAGCCTTTTTTCCTGATGGCTTTCGATAGAATGCCTCTCTTGGGGCTGACACGGAGTTGAATTGATTAGCAAAGTTTAGAGAATTAAAGTCATTTAAAGAGCTGTGTGCTGTTTTCGGGGATGTCTTAGTTGTTTGCATTGTGTTGTACCTTGGTACCTTGGACTTCCTCAATTAGAAACCCAGGCAGATGGTTGAGATCCCTTTTAACTCCTAACAACGCTCACTACCCACCGCCTCGAATTATTTATTGTAAATGCAACTTTTATATTTTGTAGCTCTCCAGAATACCACACATTCCTACCATTAGGATATCAGAAACATTCCAAGATGGTTGGTTGGTGTCTACTTAGGAACATGATGGGGAGGTTGGGACACCATCATCTTGGAAATAATTTTATTGTGTCTGAGAGACTGAAATGTATAGTGTTAGGTGCGGAAGGAAGTCTTTCCCTACAGCTAGGCATTCTCTTGACCCCTGACACCTCTGGGCACTCTGGTGGGGCTGGGACAACTTAGCCTTTTAGGTTTTCGGTGCAAAGACAAACTTCTGTCCCTTGACTTCATTTAAGAATATAAGAACTGATACAATCCTTCAGAAATCTTATTATGTCCAAAGAAATGGCAAAACAGGCTGTCTCGGTTACATTTTCTAGCGGACTGTACAGGGCTGTAAGTGAAAACGAATGAAGCCTTTTCATATCTCCAACTAACTTGACCTTTATTTGCTAGAAATGCTTACGGCTGACTTCTATCCCTAGTGTCAGGAGCCATGAGAAAGCTGTATGGATACCATGGTCAGAGAGTTCCTATGGAATCCGGTCTTCAACCTGGCCTAGGAGTGTTAGTTGACCTCTGACTTGGCTTCTTGTACTATGTATTTTCCAGGCTGATAACACTTGATTTGTAAAGACTGTGCAAAACCTCTGTACCCCTCTCCTTGGAGCGGCGCCTGTTTGGATGACTGCCATCTTAAAACACAGGACCTGCCCAATTTTTGTAGTTTGGGAAATTAGCATCACAGTGCAGAGCCCAAGGCTTACATAAAAAGACCTCATTAGCTTGATTTTTGGCTGAGGGAGAAAAATTGCTCTGCCATTTTGTACTTTTGAAATCTTTTAGAAGTACAGTTCAATGAGAACAAATGAGGTTGGATTTTAGGAGCTGGCGTTAAGCTCTGTGGAGTTCTATAATGCTAAATGCTTAGGAGTTTAAGGTGGGAAGAGAAGTAACTGCAGATGTTTGGATAAATTGATAAGTACCATTAAAATGTTCTCCAGAAGAGATCCTTTCTTAGAATTTGACTTGAGTTGATATAATTTTTTAATTTTTATTTGTTTTTTGGTGGTAATTGCCAATCATTTTTCTCTGTAAGGTCTGAAAAAGAAATGTGTCCATTTATCTGCTGTTTAAACCTACCAGACTGAGAGCTGATGTCTTCAGTAGTCCTGTATGGCCAGAAGCACCCTACTCAATAGTGTTGCCTTTTCTCTTCGCAGCAAAAGCCTCTCAAAGTAAAGAACTTAAAGAATGTCAGATATACGAAGTTGATTTCCATGGAAACATCGTCATCCTCCGATGACAGTTGTGACAGCTTTGCTTCTGATAATTTTGCAAACACAGTAAGTGCTCCCTGAGAATAAACAGGATTGAGTCTGCAATGCTCCAAATGCCCCCAAATGCTTTGTACATGATTAAAAAACACTTGCTTTTTTTTTGCCTGCATTTCTATACAGCCGTTAGGAAAATGCTGCCCGCACTGTCATTTCGCTTCGCTCTTTGCTGTGGTTCTAGGTAGTAATTGTTGGAGACAGATTAGCTGCTTATTGTATCCTTTTGAAATGTCGCCTAACCTAACGGACTGATGACTTGCTCTAACAACTCAGAAATCATTTGTAAACCTCTGAACCATTTTTCTTTGTAACAAAAGCCATTCTCCTGTAGTGCACTTGTAAATGTGATTTGCTCTCTGCACAGTTTATGGAAAATTGGTTCTTGAAAAGGGGGAAAGAATCCACAGGCACGTTTGTTTGTTTGTTTGTTTGTTTGTTTGTTTGTTTGTTTTACAGAAACCTAAATTCAGATCAGATATCAGTAAAGAACTGGCTATTGGTGGGGTTTTTTTGTTTGTTTTGTTTTGGGTTTTTTTGTTTTGTTTTTAAGAGGACTCTGATAATGAATCTTTCTGCAGCTTTTCAAAGGGTGAGGTACAAGATGTCTTAAGCCATTGTGGATTCTTACAGAAACCAAGGCCAGATGCCACTAACGAATTGGCCAGCATTTTTCATGCCGACTCGGTGGGGAATCATTTTGTGGTTTTTCAGAGAGTGAGATACAAGATGGAATGGTGACTGTGAGAGTCATACCAGCATCTAGCAGGGAGGCTCACCAAGAGGCAGGAGACACTGGCTTTTTGAACCCTCTCTTCCTGAACTGATAACTCTCCATCCATCCAGGAGATTTCATTGACCTAATTATAAATATTTTCTTCCTGTCCTAAAGCCATTTTTACTAAGCTCCTGCTTGTAGATCTTACACATTTTTTTTTTTTTTAGGTTTTGGAAAGTTGTTAAGTAAAGTTGGCTAGCCTCCAGATTCCCATTAGCTGCAGAGCTGGCTTAATCACAGAAAGCACATATGTCCTAAAGATTAGCTACCATTGGCACTTACATGTGCAGGTGCCCAACCCAGTGCTAGCATGGAGCTGACAAAGCTGGCTTCCATGGTTCTAGTTGTACCTGCATCTTAAGAACCTCTTAGGACCATGGAGATCTTAACAGGTAGTGCCCTTCTTGCTTCTGTGTCTCCTTACTCTCTGGTCTCCTTTTCTTGTGTGTGCTCCCCTCCCCTGAGCTCTGCTAACCTGCTATGCCGCTGCCTTACTCCCTGAGCATAACATGCCTAGGCTTTCTCCTAAAGAAGTGGTGCATTTGTTGCAAGTCACCTGCATTTATTTCCGTTGTTGGATCTGACATTCCCTACAGGCCACCACTTGAGTGTCACTGCTGTGACAGCACTTGGCTCTAGAACTATCTTACCACTATCTATACCTACGCATGTTTTCTCTAATAAAAGACTTTGGTCCAAATTGGTGTTGATTGGCGTTCGTTAGCTGGGGCCAGTCTACAGGTCTTGGATGTGACCTATTGTGGCTTGACTGTTCTAGGCAGTCCGTTAGCTTTTTTTTTAGGTTTTACTTGTGCTGAAAAAAAAATGCCAGTTGATTAAAAAAGCTAAGAACTTACTATGATCTCCATCTATGAAGACTAAAAGTACGTGAAGTACTAAAAGCTATCCATAGGATCCTGTTGGTTTTGGGGACCAAGCCCAGGGTCTTAGACGTGCTAAACATAGACTCTTCCATTGAACTAAGTCCTCAGCCCAGTCAAGTTTTTGGAGGTGCCAGGGAGATGGCTCTGCTTGCCCTGCAAGTACAAGGACTCGAATCTAGTCTCCAGAAGCCTACAAAAAATGCCTAATGCCTAGTGGAAGTGGTGGCCTGTCTATAATTTCAGCTTCTCAGAAGGCAGAGCTAGGATGCCTTCTCAGCAAGCTGGCTAGCAAGATAAGATCCATCAGTGAGCTCTGGGGTTGATTGAGAGACCTTGTCTCATTTAGTATTGTTAAGGGTGATTCCTGATCTTAAACTCAGACCTCCACATGCACACTCCCATATGTGCATACGTGCAAAAATGAGAGCAGCTGTCCTGAACATACATGTCCAAAGCTTTTATGTGGACATATATTCTTGGGTCTATACCTAAGAGTAGATGGCTGGAATACATAGAGACTGTTTAGCTTTTGAGCAAACTTACAGGTTTAGTCATACCTGTTGGTTTGAAGTGACTTGTCACTAGGTCTTGACTTCCATAATGTTAATTTGAGTGGTACCTACACTAGTCAGGTTCAAAGACTGAAAGGTTGTGTTTGCCAGGGGCTGGAGTAGGGGAGATTGGCAATTTTATGTATATTTTAATCACAATTAAAACTGAATTGGAAATTGATAGTGTAGGTTGTTATTTAATACCATTATAGGCAATGAAATCATGTTGATGGATGAACTTAGTTATTCCGGGAAGATTTTCTGAAAGTAAGGACTATTTTTAAAGAAATGAGAAGGGGATGGGAATTTATGTTTTAAAAAAATTATTTGGAAGCGTAGGTCTCAGGACCGTGAGGGTGGCTCAGACATTGTCTTACACCAGTAACAGTATTCATTTGCAAGACTTGATTTTGTTACCCACCATCCTTGCTGACTAGTTAAGACTGATTTTGCTCATGTCCTTTATTCCAGAAGGATTTTGTAGTGGGCCCTGGTGTCACTTGTCTACCACTCGGCAGGTTTTAATAATTCCCTTTCTCTGGTTAACTAGAAACTTCAGTTCAACAGGGAAGGCTGCAGGACCCGGAGCCAATGCCGGCACTCCGGGCCTCTCAGGGTTGCCATGAAGTTCCCAGCACGAAATACCCGCAGGGCAGCCAACAAAAAAGCAGTGCCCCCAAAGCCCTCTGAGAGCTCTGCAAATGATTCCCATTCTGACTCGGAAGAAGAAGATGGCATGAACTTTCTGGAGAAGAGGGCCTTAAACATAAAGCAGAACAAAGCAATGGTGGGTATTTGAATGCATCCAAGCCCTTCTAGCTTTTCTCTAAGCAACTCATTTCCCCCCCCTCCCTCCCTCCCTCCCTCCCTCCCTCCCTCCCTCCCTCCCTCCCTCGAACTGTTTCTAAGTTGTGAGATTTGATGATGTGTTTGTTTCAAAGATTTATACTTATGGAGTAGAGGGCTAGACTCTGCAGCTCTTGGAGGCCATAAGAGGGCATGTTGTATCCCCTGGAACTGGAGTTAGGGATGGTTGTGAAATATCCCATGTTGATGCTAGGAACTGAACCTGGGTCCTCCGCAAGACCAACGAGTGCCTCTTAACTGCACACCCAGCTCTCCAGGCCTTCCAATTGCTTTTTAAATTCTGTTAAGAGTTAGAATAAGCCGGGCGGTGGTGGCGCACGCCTTTAATCCCAGCACTCGGGAGGCAGAGGCAGGCGGATTTCTGAGTTCGAGGCCAGCCTGGTCTACAGAGTGAGTTCCAGGACAGCCCGGGCTATACAGAGAAACCCTGTCTCGAAAAA